GGTGACGGCGCCATCTTTCAGGAATCTTTATTGAAGAGGGGCGCAGAAGGAGGTGCCGAAGCCGGGTATCTTTTGTCGACAGAGATAAAGAATTACGTTACCGAGGCCTACCCTGAGGCTGCCAGCGAAGACTGGAACATAATCGTACAGGTGGTACTTAACATGGATGGCCTTGCAAAGAAGCTGCACGCATCCGGTATCATTCCCTTCACCACCTCAGAACGAACTCTCATCGATTTCGGACGCGGCTTTGGCCGCGCTCAGCCTCTATTCAGCTTCATCGACGTCGGCTCAGGCAAGGAGTCGGCCGACCACAAGATCCGCGAGATGCTCCGCGTCATGGTCCGCATCGGCCAGTGCAAGCATATCTTCTTCGGCCCCTGCCACGATAACGGATACCTCCCGGTCCTGGAGCCGTATAAGCTAGATGATAAGGTGGCTTCAAAGTTCACCCTCATCGAGACGACCCCCGCCGAGGAGGGCTTTAAACAGCTCAAGTTTCACAGAATTATCTTTAACTCTGTCTTTATGTCGGAAAAGCTTCCCGAAAGAGTCCAGCGACAGACTATGGGCATGCCGAGTATGCTTCCTCCTCCCGTCTCCTCCGCACCGACCGCCACCATCTCCGCCGCCGCTAAACCGCCCACCGGCCCGTACCACACCAACTCCAACTCCGCAAACAACGGCGCCCCCGTCGAGCCGCCTCGCGTTACCAGTCCGCTGTCCAGCGGCTCCCAGACGCCCGCGTCTAGTTGGTCTACGATGACGCGGGTCTCGACGGCGCCCAAGCCCATTGACATCTTTTCTACAAAAAAAGCGCCGCAGCCGAAATACTACCTCATGAACGCCGACAGCCAGCGCATCGACGAGCCGCTGCCAAAGGTCGACCCTATGGTAGAGAAGAGATTCAACGCGCGCATGACGGAGACGGGCAAGAAGTTCTGCAACAATTACCACCTACACGGCGAGTGTAAGAATCCAGTCTGTTCCTACATCCACGGCGATAAGCTTAGCGCCAGCGAAATGGTACTATTGAAGCAAAAGGTGAATTTCATTCGTTCGCTTCGTGATTTCATGGGGTAGTCTTTCTTCATTTTCGGGCATTAGGCTAATTTGTGACAAAAGTCTCGCGGTATCCCCTGTAGCTTGGGTTCCGAATGCGACGACGTAAACTGCACACTCGGCCATCACTGCAGATGGCTCAAGGACTGCAACCACAGCTACTGCCGCTTCCAGGGCTACCACGACATCAGCCCCAAACCGAGAGTCAAGTGCTTCGAGGATGGCAGTATGAAGATTATCGATAAGCTCTAAGATTATTTACCGCTCATCCATCATTCAACTAAAGAAGAAAAGGGAAAAGAAAATGGCCAAGACGGGCATAATAACCACTGCGGGTTCAAGCTCAAGAACCGGGAGGTCGGATCTTGGTGCTTTGGGGCATAAAAGATTGATGTCAGACGCAGGGAAGATCGTGCCCGTCAATTGAGGATATCACGATCTGGCACGATGAAAATCATATAAAGGCAGTGGGGATGTGAGGATGGCCTCGCTCTTTGTTCACGTCAAGCAGCACCCACCGGTGTAGAAAACCATTAAAGGTTCAGAGAACTAACATTTGAAGACGCAGGACTGTGGACAAGCATCGTCCTCGTGGCCTTTTACTTCTTCACTGCAGTGCCCCATAATCATTTCTCTCCCACGCGCAATAGAAAACCAGGAAAGGAAAGGAGAAACTGGATGGGTGACAACTGACCCTGCAACCAACGCCCCTGTGCGCCGACTACAAGCGCGTCGGACTCTGATTTCAATGAGGTCCGAAGCCCACTGCAGAGAACCATTACACACACACACACACACGGCGCCCGATCTTGAAAGAAACTGCAGGCAGCAAGAGACTCGTCCGAATTGTTGCCTAATATGCAACGCCCGTGTTTAAATCGAATGCTCATGCCCAATGTGCGGCCTTGTACCACAAAAAGCCCCTCTTTCCAAGTTCGAGGCTGATTCGTTGAGAGCGGTGTCTTGGAGGAGAACATTGCGTATACATGGTAGGTGGGCTTCTGCAGCTTACACCTTAGCCCTTGACGCGCGCGCGTCAGCAAACATCATGCATGACAAGTACCTGCGCTATCCCAGAGGGGTACTCTGTTAATGGATGTAACCGTCTCCCATTGTTCTTCGATTGTTGTCGCCTACGAAGCACAAGAGCGCGGTTTAATGACTGCTGGCAGAAATCATCCAAGAAGCCAAGTCTTTGCGTGAATTCACGCATCAATAATGATTATATCGGAAATTCAAAAGTGAGTAGCAGGCGTCAGTTGTCGATTTGGATTTAATCCCCTTAAATACTTCCATGGCAAAGCCATACTTTCGCATATCGAGCCGAATTCCTTTGTTGACTGGGACAATGGCTTTCGCTCAGCGCATTTTCTGGCAGATAAATTGATTCTCTCAAAAATGTCGCCATCGGCGTTTCAAGGCCATCTCCAGGCGCCTGCTGATGCTTCATGTTGGCATGGACTTTTGCACAATTTTCCCGGCGTTTTTGGAAACTCGAAGACAATCAGACGACTAAACAAGGCTTCGAAAAGCTGGCACATTCTTATACCGAGTCTGTGTGATGATTGAATCACTTGGTTGTGATGCGCTATGAAGACGCGTGCTAGATTCTGTTCCAACAGCTCTAGCCTTTGTGCTCCATGCCCGACTATTTCGAAGGGACAAAATCGGATCAGGTCCATGTTTGGCTCAGGAATAGAGACTCGTTCCATGTGAGATTTAGTCAAGCAACTGACAGATTCTGCTCTCATTTTCAAGCATTTGATTAGTGAGATTAGTCTGACGTAGCAAGCTAGAGTCATGCACAGAAGCTCGGTGTAGGCTCATTATTTTCGCCCATGCAAGGTGACTAAGTCCATATTGTGGAGCGAGCACACTTGTCATCACCCGATGAATGGGACGGACTTAGTCTCTCCCGTGTCCTGAGACCTAGGTAGACATTCAAAGTCTTCCGGGCCGGTAAGGACCCATATCGGAGCCTCCGCTATGACGCCAGATGTCGGAAGCGCACCATCTACCCGGTGGGGTCATCGCGGAGATAACGCGCACTTCCCATTGGATATCGGAACAGCACCTGGGGAACGGCAGTAGATCTCTTGGCGGACATTGGATGCCGCTGTAGAACTGGAGATGCTGCCATCAGACCATGAACATGATTCAGCGACTCCATTATCTCCTCCAGAGTCTAGAAGTCGCAATAGGAATGTGAGATGGGGTGTCTCAGACGTCATGTTGGCCGGAGTTCTCGGGATGAGCGGGTGTCGCCTCGCAGTGAGTTACCATTGTGATTAGTGAGTCTTCGAGAGGTGAGGAATGAGAGATTCGATTCCGTATAAGAACCGGTCGACGATGCTCATATCCAAGAGCTTCTGTTCCTGGCTCATCAGAACACAAGAATCAAATCCAGACATCTCTTACAGGAGCTCGATTACCCTCACCCTGTAAATCTCACCACACTTCATCCAAAACCACCACCACCAACCATCAAAATGCTCGGCAAGATCGCCCTCGAAGAAGCCTACGAAATGACAGGCATGGAAGCCAAGTCAGAGTACGAAGCCTCCCTCTACATCAATCCCTCCGACCGCGCCCGCTACATGCGCCAAATCAGCGACCTCAACTCGGAGCGCGTAAAGCTCGCCGACGCCCACGGCATCGGCTACACCATCGTCTCCCTCACCGTCCCCGGCATCCAAGGCATCGCCGACCAAGCCGTCGCCGAACGCCGCGCCACCGAAGTAAACAACTGGGCCCACGGTCAAATCAAGCACAACCCCTCCAAGCTCGGCGCCTTCGCCTGCCTCTCGATGCACGACCCCGTCCAAGCAGGCCGCGAACTCCGCCGCTGCGTAACGGACCTCGGCTTCCACGGCGCCCTGCTCTGTGACTTCCAGCACGCCGGCCCCAACGGCGAGACGTACAAGTTCTACGACCAGCCCGAGTACGACGCCTTCTGGGAGGTCGTCTGCGCGCTCGACGTGCCCGTGTACATCCACCCGGCCGCCCCCGCCGACGTCGTCCTCGAGAAGCTCTACGCGCAGCGAAAGTACCTCATCGGCCCGCCCCTGTCCTTCGCCAACGGCGTGAACCTGCACCTCATGGGGCTCATCTCCAACGGCGTCTTTGACCGCTTCCCGAAGCTGCAGATTATCGTCGGCCACCTGGGCGAGCACCTCCCCATCGACCTGTGGCGCATCAACCACTGGTTCGAGGACGTGAAGAAGCCGATCGCCGCGGCGGAGGGCAACGCGGACCGCATGTGCAAGAGGACCGTGTACGACTACTTTAGGGAGAATATCTACGTCACCACGTCGGGCAACTTTTCCACGCGCGCGCTGAAATATGTGGTGGACGAGATTGGGGCCGACCGCGTGCTGTTCTCGGTGGATTACCCGTACGAGACAATTGAGATGTGCTCTGCTTGGTGGGACGGCCAGGCCGAGGAGGTGAAGGAGGCGGTGGGCGGCGTTGAGAATTATCGCAAGATTGGGCGTGATAATGCGAAGAAGCTGCTCAAGCTGGGCGAGTTCCATGACTCTGAGGCGCCTGTGTCTTGAGAGAGGATTCTGTTTGTATCATATTAGTAGCTTGAATAGCCCACACTGAATATCTGGTTTATTCCACTCTGGAAACTCAGCTTTCCCGTTGGCTTCCATGTCTGCCCTACCAAGATGAGCGCTGAGGCGAGGAATCTCAATCGCTCCCCAGCGGTTTCCGGTCGAATATGTCCATCAATTTGGAACTGGAACTCTTCCATGCTTGGTAGGGACACGAACTGAGTGGACTCGTAGCTCAGTTATCTTGGGTCTATATTTTTTCAGCCAAAAGAGGACCGTCATCTTATGTGGTAATGTCGTACACTATAAGATACAGGAGGTGGATGACGGGGGTGGCTTAGTGGAATCGATTAGTGCCCTTGTCATTCATGATCGCTGCGTTTATTGAAAGATTCCCCAGTTGGTTAGATCTATCCCCTGAATATTGAACCAGCTTTCATTCAGCAAATCAGAGTCTGTGAAATCCCCAAAATCCTGCGCCAGGGTCGTCTGATTCAAACCAGGCACAGAGCCAAACGGGATCAAGACGTCCTGCTCGCTTGGTTGCTCAAGTCGCGCATCGTATGTTTCTGCTATGTAAGAGCGCCAAAAGAATGGTTAGCTTCTCTTCTGTTGAGTCTACTAATTCCCATTCATCAATAGGAAAAGTAAACCCCCTTTCGTGCTCTCCACGTGTATTCTTCTCTTACCATTGGTGGCGGGGGCCCCGCTGGGAGCGTCTCGCTGCGAAGCGGCAGCCATGACAGATGCGCGAAATCTTTCCAAGACTTCGATGCCTCGGCTGGCAGACGCGACGTGCTGCTTGTGAAAATCAAAGATGCGCAAAGCTCTGTCCCACGAGGATTTTGTCGGCTCTGTTTCGAAGCTGACGTGGAGATCGGGGCACAGGGTCGCGACTACCAGAGTGGAAGCTGCGGCAAAGGTAACTGTGATGAGAGAGTAAACAAAGATTTAGCTTGAATCGCCAAACCTGAACTGAAGACTGGAAGGGCAATACGCAAGAGGCAAGCAGGCAGAAGGAGACGAAAAGGAAAACTTTGCGTACAGAGTAGAACATGCCAGGCCGAGTTCTGCCTGACGCTGCCCAGCTTTTCGTAAAGCTCCTGTAGTACGCTGTGAGCCGTCGAAACGCAGAGTAAGTTCGCCGAGTGTCCTAGACTGTCTCGAAGTGTATGCGTGGCGGCCGTTGCGAATGATTTCTGGGGCCGACTACCGTGCTTAGCTTCGTCCAAGAGGAGCGGACGAAGGAGGAGAAGCCGAATCCATAAGACTCTGGGTGACAGAGCGATAAGTCAGACTTTCTCTAAGAGAAGAATGAAGGAAGAGGCTTGGGAGAAAGCCGCCTTACCTCGACTTGAGGATGTTCGCCTGCATCTGCAGACACCCTCGCAACTCTTCGTCTAGCCGTGTCAAATCCGCGCCTTCTCTGAGGTAGGGCGGGATTGAATGGCCCAACTCGTCGAGCTTTGACGAGAGCTGCAGGACATGACTGAGTGAATCGGGTGTCTTGTCCGAGACAGATTCGCCTTCGGTGTAGAATTTGGCTAGTATCTCATTCAGCACATCAAACAGCGCAACGGAGTGTACAAAGAAGGCCAGGTACGAAGGGCGATCCGACGGTTGTAGGCCTTCGGAACTCTCAGACAAATACTCATCGTCGATAGGTTCCGGCGGAGGGACGAAGTACTGCCGAGACACAAGGACAGGTCTCCCAAAGGTGGTTGCCGTGAGTCTTGGAAGCGTTGACGTTAGCTGGGTGGCAATCATCTGGATCCGAGCAAGCGAAGGCAGCGACACGGGTGCCACGGGTGCTGGTGGAGAATCTTCTGCCTACCTGTCTAAAGTTAAGCAACAGTGCCAGACACGTCGCCTCATCTCCCTCTTGAGCTGACTCTTTGAGGACGTTGGTCCATCACCGCGGGAGTGCAATCCGAGACCCTGCGCAACTCGCAGTGCGACTCCGGTTGTGTTCCAACATCGGTCTGCGTATTGCGTGTAGTGTAGGTAAACGCCCCTCAGTAGCAATAGCTGGACGAGTTGCAGAGAGGAGTGATCGAGCGTATCGACTGACACGAGCTTAAAAGACTGCTTATAGAACCTATTGGCTAGGCGAACTTGCTCCGTTACCGAGACCTGATCTGTCCGCTGACACCCAAGAGCCAGCACGATGCTCAAGGTGGCATGGAAAACAGTGTCCTTGTAGTCTCGATTGGGAGGCCGGCCTTGAGATGGCTGCCAAACCGCTTCGTACGACGCGGTGAACGACGGCCGGTGGAGTATGGGAAACACGGGGTGGACAAAATCCCAAAAGCAGCGGAAGAGATTATCGGCGAGCCACCTCTCGGGAAGCATTACAGGGTCCGGTAGGATATCAGGACTCTTTGGCTGCGTTGTTATCGCGAACCCAAGTACTGTAGGGGCGACTTCTCCTGCATCCTGGCCAGCCAGCTCCTCTGGACTCTTTGTGTTTGAGCTTCTGGGGCCCGCAGCTTCGGTCACCAGTCGTAGAAATGAGCTGTTGGATGAAGGACCGTACATGGCATCGCCATCGGCTTCGTTGCGAGACAATGGTGAAGCAGATTGTACGGCGTTTGTCGCTGAGAGTTGAGCGGGCGGCCGGGGAGTGATGGTGGCAATAGGAGTGGTTGATCCGTTGGTAGTCAGGGGAAAGACATTATGAGCTCCTCCAGAAACGTCTCTTTCTGGGTCGGAATCGGGATGCGGCGGATGCGGCGGTCCGTTACGAGCTTGAGCTGCGGGTAGCTCTTCCAGACGCTCCAGCCTCTTTGACAGTTGGGAAATTGATCTGCCAAGATTGATCAGCCAATTTCAATTGACAGCAAGACAATCTCTGTTCTTTGGCTAGAGGTGAAGGATCGGAAAGTTCACGGCACGTACGGTGTTGATGACGCATGCAAGACGGACTCTTGATATGTGCACCGTTGCGGCCAACCTTTGGATGTACAAGAAGAACACACCGGACGCGCTCCATCGCATCCAGACTTACGAGCGCGGCATGGGTTGCAGGCAAGCTGCGTTTTGCGCCGTTTACGTGGCGGCAACGACACCGACGTCGGGGGCATGATAAGGTTGTAGTTGAGTCGATGGCACGATGCTTAATGCGCGTCAAACGGAGGTGAGTCTAGAAAGACTAGTTGCCTAAAGTGGGTGGGGTAGCGCTGAGACGTCGGGAACGTACCTACCGTAGGTGCCCTAAGGCACCTCAAGGTAGGTAACGTACCCACGCAAGGTACCTAGGTACCCTGTGGTGCTGGAGGAGATGGAAGGCGGGAGAAGGACGGGGCCTCTGCAGGTTTGATGTGTGCATAGGTATGTATCTGCCTACCTAAGGAACCTAGGCAAACGGGCGACACTCAACTTACCTAAGGTATTCCATGGAAGGTTCTCTTACTGCTTTCACTATCATTGTCACTCTTGATGTCATTACTCTTGGTGTCATCACTCTTGGTGTTGTTTCTCTTGGTGCTATTTCTGTTGTCATTGTGATCAACTCTCTGTGCATTCTTTAATGAATAAATCCTAAGAAGTCTAATTCATCTGCCAAAGGTCTTTTTGGATTAGGTAAGATCTTTAGATGATTTTTAAAGAGAAAAGATAAGGCAATGAACTTAAGGTAAGTAAGTACCTTGGATAATCGTCTATTAAAGGTCTCGGTTCAGGTGACTTGCCTAGCATGGAGCCTTGGAAGACACCTCTAGTAAAGCCGATACGTATTCTCGCGGGGGAAGGTGCCTGCCTTCCATCCTTTGATTTCATGTGGAGAGGCAACAAGCAGCCAAGGTATTAATAGCTAACTTTCGGTAGGGAATCTGATTTTCTGATTCTCCTCTCAATTCCTCACAAGATCCCATTATCATTCTACCAATACCTCCCACTTCAGCCGAGATTTCTATCATCTTCACTTCTGAGTTTTCATCCAAACAGTCCACTTCGTGTGGCACTTTATTTTCGTCTGTAGCACCAGGTTGGGATTTTGGTCAGGTAAGTCTATATGTATTCCCGGCCACGTGATCTTTCTCCGAAACTAACACTAGCAGGTACAATAATCGCACCTGCCACCTCGATCCCAACATGGCGGGCCGCATTCCCAACCTCGACTTGGAGGCGGAATTTCAGAAGCTGGTGCCTCTCATGAGATCATGCTTTGACCGAGAGGACCCAGAGCTCAGGCCCACCTACAGAGATTGCAGAAGTTGGGCAAAATCTTTCACATCGAACATTCGACGTAGCATGGCCTCGCGCGACAACAACGGCTGGCTCGGCGACAATGGGGAAGGGGACCTCACCGAGCGATTCGAGCTTGTGCAGCAAATTCGAGACACAATACTCAACCACGATGACATCAAAGAGGAGGAGGACAAGATCAAAATACTTGAGACAAAAGAGGTGTGGGCGCACCTCATGGTCCTGCCCTTGCCTCGTCTCCGAACCTTCTTGGCCGAGGTACAGAACAACGACAACCTGGTCTACACTCTCAATGTTTCATTCCCCGCAATGAATGCCCTTATCCTGCTATGTGAGTAAATTTCTATATCGTCTTTCTTTTCTATCGTCAGATATCTGTCATCTCAACTATCCGTCATCTCAACTATCCGTCATCTCAACTATCCAAGTTGGCAGACGCTCCTTTAATGCGGATGACAACAACCTTTTTCATCGTATTTTGTACCTACAGGCTAACATTTTCATAATTAGTCCGAGGCCCGGCGGCAGAATGGGTCAAGACGGGTACTATTTCGCGAAGCAATGCTGAGCGAATTGCGGTATGTCGCTTGTTTGTGATGGGAATCTGCACTCGGCTAACTCATTCGCGCTAGACTGCCCAGAGAGACCTCGGGCTTTGCGCCTTTACGGGCCACCTACTCGGTGAAAAGTGTCACATCCTGCCGTTCTGGACTCTAAATAGGCCTCGCTGCTCCCAGGCACTTGACGCTGCATCCGCAGTATTCGGAAGGGAACGAATCCAAATGCTTCGCAAGAAGCTCGTCAACCCCAAGACCAACATTGTCGATACGTCCCGAAATATGATCACGTTGCACCCTATGCTTCACAAGTTTTGGGACCATGGACTTTTTGGTTTAGAGCCCGTCACTCTCTTGTACGAAGAGGACAAGAAGGAAGAACCCGCCATTGCGGGTCCCTCGACTCCCTCAAAGGTCGCTGGCGAGAGACCCAATGAGGAGAGTGGGGCGCCGGGTTCCTCAAGGTCTACAAGATCTGGTACCAAGAGACTCAGCGATAGTTCACAGATCACGCCTTCCAAGAAGTCCAAGAGAACCAGAGAGGGCAAGGGTAAGGGCAAGGAGAGGGAGGTGGAGCTGCCGCAGGATATTAAGCCTACGAAGGAGGACGGTGAGCGCGCAAGGGAGGCGATCGGTATTCGTGTTCGACTCAATTGGCTGCCAAAGACGATGTGCTTGACGCCGGACAATCTTCCAACGAACATGACTGAGTTACGGCGGACTTGGAGCCCGTGGGACGAAGACTACGTTGTTCACCGCAAGGATGCCCGGCCCGTTGACGACGGCCAGATCATCGACATCTTCGATACAGCAGACGCCAAAGCCCCCGATTTCGACATTCTGCAATTGCAGTTCGACGTTTTCCGCATGCAGGCCCTGTCCGGCAGGGCTGACCCCATTATCTATGCCCCCGATTGGTACTACGATGAAGATGGGGAAATTGTTTCAGATCCCGTGCCAGGAAAAGAAGAGGCTGTCCGGGAACATGAGGCTCGGGAGGCGCGGGAAATTCAGGAGGCTCGGGAGGCTATGCAGGCTTAGAAAGTCAGCATTCCTTCTTCTGACCCTCAAGGCTTCGATCTCCCTACCGTCGCTTCTTCATCTCATCATCAAGACTTCGATCCGTCTACCGTCGCTTCTTCATCTCGTCCTCAAGACTTCGATCCGTCTACCGTCGCTTCTTCATCTCGTCCTCAAGACTTCGATCCGTCTACCGTCGCTTCTTCATCTCGTCCTCAAGACTTCGAGCCATCTGCCGTTGTTTCTTCACCTCAATTTCAAGGCTCCTATTCATCTACAGCGGCATCTCGTCAACAGCTCCCCAGCATCGTAGGAGGACCCGACGTTAAGGCGCCTCCTCTGAGAAGACCCTCGATCATCTCAGGTATGAAGACCGTGGGCCGCGCCTTTGGTCTTTCATTGGTATCTGACCAACAGACCCCCGACGCCGAAGAAGAATCCAACGTTGCGTCGCCTCCGAGTCTTCAGAGGAGTGCGTCGATCATGTCCGGTGTGAAGACTGCGGGCCGGAATGTTACTCGTTCATTGAGCAATGCCAAGAACCAGACCAAGAACCTTGTACGCAATCCAAGTTTGGCTTTGCGCGGCAAAAAGGAAGGAAAGCGGCAGCGCCAGACTCCCGAGCGAACGTCGGGCACCCGAACTCCCACCAGAGTCTATCCCAACGAACCGGCGACGGGCCGTGAAACCCCTTTCAGCGACAAAGAGAACGTCGCCACGGGCATCGACGAGCGCTCGCGCCAGCAATCTTACCAGAGAACACACAACCCTCTGTCCGAAGTGCAGGAGCGTGTACCAAGTGTTACAGCCCAGAAGTCGCAAGGTCATGAACGTTCCAAGAGTGGCGGTTCAGGTCAGGCCTTGGACAAGACCAAAAAGCGTTTTTCCGCGAGCCATCTCGTCAAGCGTCGGTCTGAGGCCGAATTTACGAAGCGCTCTTCTGCCGATCAGATTGAGAAGCGCCGGTCCGTGGGCAATCTCACTGAGCTCCTGTCTGAAGGTCCCGAGAACGCACCAAGCGATTTAGGACACCAATTCTCGGTGGCTCTGCGTCCTCGAGAGGTCTGAGAAGAGACGCTTGGGATTGGTCAACGGAACTGAACGAAGTGCGATGATGGAGGGGTAGACTAATTGATGTATTTTTATGCTGCTTGGAGGGACGGAGGGGATTTTCGAGTTAATTGTTGTCATTACTTCATCACCCTCTCCTCTGACCTTCGTGACTCTCTGGCTATTGCTAACGGCCAATCCGGACCTCTTTCGACAATAGTCTTGCTTCGTGGCCTTGCAGATTGCAAATTGCCAGGAAACATTTATTCAGCCACCAAGTAGCTAACTTTGAGATGATGCCTCCGCTTACACAGTCGAGAGACCGCGTCGATAAATTACCGGTCCATCGTCTGCTCAGCGGCGTCTCAGATTCCACCATCGTCTTTCTTCGCCACGAGCATCCTCCGAAGTCTCTCCCGCCAAAGTCACGATGCCTTCTTCCTTGCCGAAACCTGACACAGCAGCCTCCTCTTCGCAAGGGGTAACCCCCAACTTGGCCGCCTCACTCGCCGTAAACGTGCCATACACATCGACCCCATCGTACTCCCCAAGACCTTGAACAGGAATCAAGCCATTCACAGAACAAACGAAATCACAAACCCAATGAAAAACGCAACATAGTACAGCTCGTACACCGCGTCCGGCGCACCGCCCACACCCCCCACACTCACAATCAACCCGCCCACCGTCGGCGCCCAACCCGCAACCCAGCACGGGATCACCCTCCAGTTGATGCCGTGCTGGTACCAATAATCGGATCCCTCCGGGTTGAACAGGTGCGTCAGCCGGACACGCCGACGGCGCAGGACGAAATAGTCGCAGACCATGACGCCCATGATGGGCGCGAGGAAGACGGCAAACGAGTTGAGGACGGCGACGAAGGTGGCGGCCTGGCTGATGAGCTGCCAGGGTTGGATGATCCAGGCGGCGGCGAAGGTGAGGAGGGCACCGCGGCGGATGTCGAGGTAGCGCGGGAAGAGGCCGGCGAGGTCGATGCCGCCCGCCACGGCGTTGGAGCAGACGTTTTCGAACATGGAGGTGAAGGCGAAGGCGAGGGCGAGGAAGAAGACTGCGGCGCGGGAGCCGGGGGAGCCTTGACCGTCTGTAGGCGATCATGTCATTGGAGATTCTTCAAGGTGGTTCACGAGATACAAGAAGAGGAAGAAAAAGGAAAGGGGCGACAAGTAATTGGTAAGAGAGAAAGACTCACGGTCCATCATAACCATCAACAAATCAGGCGGGTTCCAATAAATCTGGCCGTAGATCTTCTGACACGCCGTGGTAGTTACCAGCCCGCCCAGGCACACAAGCACACCAGTAACCCAGTACACCGACACCGTACCAACGATATAATCCCTCTTATTCTTCGCGTACCGCGAAAAGTCACTACTATTCGTCATGCCTGCCGCTTTCCCACCGATAGCCTGGTTAATCCCCGCCATCATCAGCCATGAAGCGTTCCACCGGGACGAGGTGGGTACTTTCTCGCCCTGGTAGAAGACGGGGCCAACACCGCGAGCGACAACTACGGACCAGGCGAGTAAGGCGACCATGGCGGCGCCGCAGGCGACGGAGGAGACGAAGAACGGCTTTTTGAAGCGCTCGGGGCGGATGAAGAGGAAGGGAAGGGAAACTATCCAGAAGACTGTGAAGCCTAGGAGTTCGTAGGTTGTTGTTGGGGTGGTTTTGCTGAGGGTGTTGGGAATCTTTGCAAAGGAGGGCCAGATTGCGGTTATGCAGACGCTGCGAGAGGTGTACTGTTAGTGTTTGAGACTTCGTTCAAGGAGGGGAGGTTAATCATACGTTACTAGTTTACCTCCATTCCAGCCTGTTCAAACCTGGATCAGTCATCTTGTCGTATGTAGAAGGGGAATGGCGTCTTGGAAAGACTAGAGACACTTACACTGGAGAGCGGTCCAGATAAAGTTGAGGAGAATGCGCTGTAGCAGCGGTATGAAACTCGCTCGGAAGCCCCATGTGTATCTATTCTGGACGGTGAAGCCGATGTGCCAGGTCAGACCGCACCAAGCCACGAGAATGGCGAAGAAGCAGCAGAGGGCGCGCGAGACGACGATGACGGCCATAGTCTGGCCGACTGAGAGCCCCTGAGTAAGGAACGTGTTGGGAGTCTGCCATGTTGCGACATTGAGAGACGATCTGTTGGAATGGGCAGAGGTTCAGTATTCGGACATAGGATGACTTTTTTTTCTCAAAGTACAATAGGAGTCAAACTTACAACGACCAGGAGCCGAAAAAGTTGAACCAGCCCCAGGTGCGGCGGGAGGGCGGCAAGGGGATAAGGTCGCGGTTCGACCAGGCGCTGACTTCTTCGTGGCGGGACTTGTCCGACTTGATGGCCAGGGCTTCTTTAATTCTGCGCGCTGTCTTGTTCGCCATTGTTGCCGTGACAGATTAGGCGCTGCAAGCTCTTACGTTTGTATTTCCGTTTGCACTGTTCGGGAACGCTTCGTTTCGAGCCCGTGGAAGGGCGTGTACTAACGGATATATAGGACCATCTTATCTCGAGATCCTTGCATCACTCACGTTCTCTCTCATGGTTCTGGATTTTTGTAGGAGAGCGAAGCATAGGTTGTCGGGAGATATGCGCTGCTAATCGCGACCTTGTATGACCTGCATGCCGGGCAATGTTCGGAGGCAGTTTTCCGGGGCAAGTCTGCATTTGCCCCTATTTCCGTGCCCTCTTTATTTCTGAAAAGAGGACATACGTCGGCAACTTTCCGAGCGTCGGACGACGTGCCCGCGAGCTTGTCAGCTGTCAAAGCGGCCTTGATGTAACCCCCCTCCCCCCCTCCCGGCCGACCTGGTCCTCGATGCCGATGATAAGGATGCGGAGCAGTGGGGTGTTGCCCGCTGGTGACATGCTGGGTGATAAGAAATGGTGGTCGATCGTCTCGGACTCACTCGTCTGCCAGTATTCCAATCCAATGACAGTGTTGAACTCAAGGGTGGAAATGTTCAATTGTGTAAGTAGCTTCCCTTACCTAGTAGTCCTTCACATTGGTACCTGATGGGATTGACGCCGTAAGGTGAGGTTGGTGAAGTGGGGTCCACTATCTCGGAATCCGGGGTTGAAACATCGGCCTCTACCCCGATGCTAGCACCGCGTCGGAGAAGGTGCGATACTTCAGTTAAATGTCTTGCATCTCACCTGCTATCATTATCGCAAACGCCCTCACTGCAGGACCTCGTACCACTATCCCTATAGAGAGTTCTCTTTGCATGCAATGCAAATTATCTGAACCTCCAAGCATTAGGGAAGCAAGTCCAACATCACCAGCTCATCCGCAAAAATGACAGTCCCTATCTTGAGGATAGGCGTCGACGTCGGCGGGTGAGTAATGCCCCTCTCACTTCGCCTCACCTCACCTCTGCGTTGACAAACTTCACATCACCAACCCCAAACTCCCACCTCCAAACCATCAACTCACTTCTGACAAAAACAAACAGAACAAACACAGATGGCGTCATCCTCGATCCATCCTCCTCCTCCCCTTCCCTCGGCATCCTCGCCACCCAAAAGACCCCAACAACACCCAACCCAAGCACCGGCATCACAACCGCAATCTCGCACATGTTCTCAACCTCCAATATCCCCCCCTCCCGCATCGCAAGCGTCACCATCGGCACAACGCACTTTATCAACGCCGTAGTAGAACAAGACGCCTCCCGCCTCGCCCCCGTCGCCGTCATCCGCCTCTGCGGTCCCTTCTCCGCATCCATCCCCGCCGGCGTCGACTGGCCTCCTGCCTTGCGCAACATCATCTGTGCCCACCGCTCTCTGGTGGACGGCGGGCTGGAGATTGACGGTGACTTGATTGCGGAGCTCGATGAAGATGCCGTGCGGCGCGAGGTGAAGGTTATCCGCGCCAAGGGAATTAGGAGTGTTGTCGTTGTGGGGGTTTTCAGTCCCATTGACGTCGTGTACAGACAAGAAGAGAGGGCGGCGGAGATTATTCGTGATGTTTATCCCGGAGCTGATGTGGTGATGTCAAAGGATGTGGCGAATATCGGGTTCCTTGAGCGTGAGAACGCGGCTATTCTCAATGCTTCCATCCTTCCATTTGCTAGACGAACCATCCGCTCCTTCCAGGATGCCGTTACGCAGCTAGGCCTCACCTGCCCCGTCTTCGTGACGCAGAACGACGGGACCATCCTGCCGGCGGCGGCGGCGGCGCGGTTGCCCATCAGGACATTCTCCAGCGGACCGACGAATAGCATGCGAGGTGCGGCGTTCCTCACTAGGAATTTGGAGGGAGAAAAGGAGGGTGCGGGCCCGATGATGGTTGTCGATATCGGAGGGACAACGACGGACGTGGGTTTGTTACTGGCCAACGGGTTCCCCAGGCAAGCGGCAGCCTACAGCGAGATCGCGGGGGTGCGGACGAACTTCTCGTACCCGGACGTCAAGAGCATCGGTCTCGGCGGCGGATCTATCGTCAAGACAGACGAGCGCACCGGCGGGATGATGATCGGGCCACAGAGTGTGGGATATCAAATCCAAACAAAGGCTCTCGTTTTCGGCGGCGATGTTGCGACGGCTACGGATTATACTGTACTCGCAGATCCAGACACCGTTGATATCGGAGACCGGTCTCTCGTTGAAGGTGTGAACGGCCTCGCTGATGACTTATCGGCGTTCGAGGCCAAGGTGAAGACGATGCTGGAGCGGATCGTGGACACGATGAAGACCTCGCCCGAGGACATTCCCGTCGTTCTCGTCGGTGGGGGTGCGGTTATTGCGCCGGATGAGTTGAAGGGAGCGAGTAGGGTTATAAAACCTGCGTGGTCTGGGGTCGCGAATGCAATTGGGGCTGCGACGGCAAGGGTTAGTGGTGTCGTGGACGCAATTGAGAGTACTAATCTGAAGACTGTGTCTGAAGTTGTGGAGGCGTTGTCGCGGAGGGCTGTTGATCGGGCTGTTGAGAATGGTGCTTTGAGGGAGAGTGTGACTATTGCTGAGGTGGAAAGTTTTCCGTTGCAGGTATGTTTCTGTGACATGACGAGTATGACCATGAAAGCTGACAGGATGTTCGATTGGCAGTATATTGCAAACAAGTCGCGAATCAACATCAAAGCCGTAGGAGATTTCGACTTTTCCAGAACAGCGTCCCTGGACACAACCACGATCCCAGACGACACCGAGAACTACGACGAAGAAATACCTAGACCACCGGCACCGCCTCGAAGCGAGGGAATCCCATCACCGCAACCCTTGGTCTACACAAAAGACTACATTGAGGGCTACAAGCCAAAGGTCCTCGACCGCCAATGGCATCTCTCCGAAACAGACCTCGACTGGATCACGACAGGCTGCTACATCCTCGGCACTGGAGGCGGCGGCTCCCCCTACCAGCACATGCTCCGCCTCCGCGAAATGATGCGCGCAGGCGCCACCGTCAAGATAATTTCCCCTTTTGACCTCAAGGACGACGATATTGTGGCCTGTGGCGGCGGAAAGGGGTCGCCGCAGGTATCCATTGAGAAGCCGTATGGAGATGAGTGGGTCTCCCTCATCTGCACGATTTTCCTTTGAAGATGGAATACTTCGAATTCTAATGCTTATGTTTCGTAGAATCATGGAGTCGCAGAGAGAACTCTACTCATACCTCAAAACGAAGCCTACGGCCGTGATATCCCTCGAGATTGGAGGTGGCAACGGCCTGCAGGGCCTCATCCTCGGCGCCAGTACAAACCTCGATATCCCGACAGTGGACGGCGACTGGATGGGTCGCGCGTATCCCATCTCCCACCAAACTACGCCAGTAGTCTTCGAAAAGAAAGCGACGATGATTCCGTCGTGTATATCAGACGGGAACGGCAGAATCATGGTACAGTCTCTTCTTCTCTCGTCCCCCCTTCTGCCGAGCATCCTTCGCGATTTCTCACAAGTCCACGTGTGATGAAGATGACACCCTTTACTGACCTGTGGATGACAAACAATAGCTCATGACAAAAGCCCGCACAGAACTCGACGCAGAACGCGCCTTCCGCGCCGCCCTCTCGCAAATGGGCTCTCACGTAGGCTGCGCAAAGGGCCCCGTCAGCGGCCGCGATACCAAGTCCTGGGTCGTCGAGAAAACCGTCTCGCTCTCCTGGCGGATTGGTCGCGCCGTAGCGATGGCGCGGTGTACGAATGCCATCGACACAGTCGCCGAGGCCGTTTTGGACGTGGTTGGCGGGCAGGAGTCGGCGAGGGTGCTGTTTAGGGGCAAGATTGTAGGCGTCGAGAGGATTACAAGGATGGGGCACGCCTATGGGGAGATTATCATTGAGGGGCATACTGACGGCAGGAACGATGGTTATGGGGCGGTTGAGAGGTTTGTTATACCGTTTAAGAATGAGAATATTCTTGCGAAGAAAGTTGATTCCAGTGGGAAGGAAGATGTGAGTCCCGACAACCCCTCATCCCTATCACGAGAGGAAAGTGAAGAGTACGAAACTGACACATCTCGCACTCAAACAGATCCTAGCAATCGTCCCAGATCTAGTCTGCGTCCTCGACGCGCAGAACGGCGAGGCCCTCGGCACACAAGAGTACCGCTACGGTCTCCTTGTGGTGGTGCTCGGCATCACAGCGTCGGACAAGTGGACTTCCACGGCGCGGGGCATCGAGATTGGCGGACCCAAGGGGTTCGGAATGGACGGGCTGGAATATGTGCCTCTTGGGACGTTTACGAAGCCTCGGAGCGTCATTGATGAGTTTGAGGGCTAGTCATGATTGGTCAAGAACTCAGGGGGTCTTGATGTTGCGAGTGATCGAGTATCCTGCTTGTACGATGCGGCTTGTGAAGATGGGTTCATTATGTGTCGAGCTATGTCCTCTTCATCTCCGGTTTCGGGTGGATGTGAGGTTGATTCTTGGATAAACGTAAATCGAGAGGTTGTGGCATGTACACTGCCGGAAGCTATGTTTATAATAGTGCTCCTTGGCATTTAGAAATAACCGCTTAGCAGTAGGATGAATAGACTTCTAGACAAAGCCTCAATGATCATCAATGCTTACATGGCTTGCCGTCCTTAAGAGCGAATTGGACTCATTAACCGCACTTCCAACCTGTAAATCTCCCAGAATATGCGCGAACCCGCACGTGTGTCATCATGATGGGCAAAAGAATCGACAGGGATACGATCATCAAACCGTTGCATTTCGCGCCGGGGTGTGATAACGCAACTCGAACTAGGGGCCAGAGGAAGATGGTGTGTTGGGGTCGTCCCCAAGTCGTCGGAACTTTCAGCGCCGCACCGTCAAAGTTGCCTAAACTCTACCAGGTTGGCGGAGGAGAGGAAGAGGGGTTAACTGAGAGCCAGTGAACCACGCCGCCGTTGTCGGTTCCTGCGGGAGCAGCCGGAAACCGAGGGTGTTGAGTCCTGACTCC